CAGCGGAGCTTGGGGTGCTCCAAGGGGCATTGCCGTTTGGGACTGAGAAGCAGCAGAGCCGTGCGGGGCCTCGGGCCTGAAAGCAAGAAGGGATGAGCGGGAGAGCTGTGTAGGGGAGACTTGGTGTTACCTGGCTGGCTCCCTGCCCCTGCAGCAATGGGCGTGACTTCCTTTCCTTCCTCCGAGGCAGGGGCGGGGGGCCGCTGACCCCCAGAAAAATCAGTCGGGGGCCGCACACAAGTGAGAAGCTGAAAACCAACCCCTCCCTGAGGTGGCCCCCGACTGAGACGGAGACAGACTCTCCCACGTTCCCCTCGCACACCAGAGCCTCAGGGGCCTGGATCTGCCCCCCGGCCTGAGGTTCCCCCACCCTGCTCTGGGGGCCTCTTTGGGCTCAGGAGTGACGGAGCCCTGGGGCCGGGCTGGTCTCTCGGTTCTGGGCTCAGGGGTGGGATCCCTCCTTGGGGAGATTCCTAACTCGTCACCGGGCCTGGGAGGAGAGAGGGATCTTTTTCACGTTGCCTTTCTGTCGGGGATGGTGGCGCCCTCGGTGGAGCGTGGGTCCGATTCCTGCTTCTGTTTGGCTTTATTTCCTTGGGCCGGGCCGGCGCGGTGGTCTGTGCTCCGGACTGCATAGAACACCCCCTCCCACAGCAGAGCAAGGGGGGGCCCAGGCTAGTAGATTTAGGGTGCTCCAGCCCCAAGGGAGGATGGCGAGGGCGGGGGGTGGCTGGAGCACCAGCGTGGGCTCCCCAATGCTGAGACTCAGGGGCCAGATCCAGGCGAGCCAGGGGCCACCTGGTTCCCCACCCCTGGGCTAGAGCTTTGACCTGGAGGTTATAAAGAGATCCGACCACACCCTTCCCAACCAGGTCTACATACATATGAGCATGCATTAATTCTTTTATGCCAATCACCCTGGTGAATGGTTACCTATGACAAAGAACGATCAATGAATCTTTTAAAAGTGCACTTAGCAAACGATGGTGTCAGAACACTTCTGTGAAAAATGTTTTCAAGCACAAATTGCTCTGTCCTTTTTTGAGCCAATAAAGTAAAATTTGGCTCAAAAAAGAGTACAAAACTGGAAAAAAAACAGCCTAAAAACTATTATGTAAAAGTGTTTGATGTTTTCACAGCTATCATGTCACCATGTAATCTTGCATGATGAACAGCTGAGTCGTGGAATCAGTACTCTGCAAAAGGCTGACGTTTGTGACAATATTTCTTTTTCCTGAATAAATAAATGGACATTAAAGCAGCTGATGTATGTTAAAACATTTTCCCTCTTCAGACTTTGTGTACTTGCCTGTGAATCCTCACACTTCACCCGGGCTGTGTGTGTATTTACCTTTATGGTATGTAGCCTGACTAGGCAGTGGATAGCTGCTTAGCCATATGTCCTGTTTCCACTGAATGTAAAACCTTTATTGTTACTGTCTCCCAAGGTGCACTGCAATGATAAAGACTGCTTGTTCACATCATGGATACAGCTAGTTGGATGGGAGTAGGGGGTTTTCACAATAAAAAGGCATTTGGTTGCTGCTGGGATCCTTGTCAGTAAGATACTCAAAGATGGTTAATTGGACATTAATGTGTCAGATTTTCAACAAAATAACAAGAAATTTGCCAAAAATAAAACTCAGAGGAAACACGCCTCCCAATTTTACAACAAAGCTTTGTTTAAAATAGAAGTTTAAAGAGCTGAAGATTTATGACATGTTGACATAACTGATGGTAAAGGAGTTGGCTGAAGCTATGCCAGACGCGCACGGAGGCAGCCTGAGTCTGAGAGAGGCCTGAGGCGCTCCGGTTCTCTGCTCCATTAGCCCATGGGGCCTGCCCGGGAGCCAAGCGGTCTCCAAATGGGGCCACGAATAATTCCTGGCTTGGAGGGGCTCAGCCTCCCCTCCTGTGCAGGCTTCACCCTCCCTTAGTGCAGCCCCTCTCCTGCTGCAGCGTTGTGCTTTGAATGGGGCGGCCCTGCCCTCCACGCAGGATGTGGGGGGCGATGGAGGCTGGATGGCTGGGGGCGGCGGGGGAGCTTGCCAGTCTCATGCATTTGCCAGCCTCTGGGCTTAGGTGTGGTGGGGCTGGTGCATTTGCGCCCCCCCTTCCCACCCGGGAGC